AAACGTTTGTTTTTCATATGAACTTTTCAAAGAAAATTAAGCATTAATTGTAGATTAAAGTTTACAAACATTTTTACATCAATCTTTTCGTCTGATTATTTAAACGGTTTAGTCCGATTCAGTGACTGCGCAGCTGCTGTTGAATCGGGAACAAGATCCGCAGTGGTGGTGAACCCGTTGTTATTGTGATCAAACGTGGAGCTCTTTTTCTTCCTTATTTTTTCATGACGATCTCTGTTTCGATGCCATGCCGGAGTCGCGGCTTTCGTGATGCATTTTCAACGTTTTCGGTGTAAATTCAAGGTTTCTAGAGTGTGGCGACTAACTTGTAATGAGAAACGCCAGTTAAAATGGCATCCGTTTATTGACAATTTAATCAAGCACAGAGGTAGCCATTTTTAACTGATGTAAATTTCTTCCTGCGCTTTTTGTCCCTTTCACTGTCACTGCTGAAAAATTATATCTGTGTCGTCATGGGGCCATATGATAGCCATTCTCGTTTGCTCTACTGAGACAAACCTTGTGTTCACTGTTGTTCGGTTTTCTACCCGTTTCTCAAATGTTGCTTTATACCGACGAGCAGCTTATTCTGTATAATATCCTGGCATCCTCCTGTTTTGATATTATGAGTTTCTTGTATAGGAGACTGCTGAACTTGTTTGCGAAATTTGCAAACCGTTGTTTTCCTTCCGTTTCCAGTTTGGAATGACTAAGAGAGAGTAGCTTCCTAATTCTGTTGCGGTTCAATTTGTTGAATTTTTCGTGGATGAAGGTCTGCAGTCTTCTTGCTGTTCAAAAGCAACAAAGAGTCCCGGCACAGATTATGTTGCAAACCTTTGTTTGGAGATCTGCAAACAGCTGACTGTTTAAATAAACAGTTATTTGTAGATTGTAGACCTTAGTCCAAAACCATTGCCTAGATTACGTTGGAAACATTTTTTGACGAAGACCTACTGCTCTGAACCTTAGAGTATGTTTCATAGATCTTGTTCAGATTGAATGACGGCTGCTTGGACAATGCTTGTAGATCACAGGTGCTATTGTTCATCAGTGAATTTGCGTTGGAATCAAATGCAACAGCTAACAGCCTCAAAGATTTGTGAAGCATTGGTTGGCGAGGTTTATCAGTTTGTTAAATTGTTTCTGTCGAAGAGAATATCCGCTGATCTCAGCCGTTGGTTTACATTTGCGTTTCTTAACCGTGTTTCAAGAAAACGCTCCAATGATCTCCGGCTTCTATGACCTTCTCGTGCTTCGTTCTGCGTAATTCACCTTCCTCATTTACTGGAGGAGAGTGTTGTTTTTATTTTTGGTCTTCTCGTTTTTGAGGTAGTTCTTGTGTACTTATTTTCCAGACAAGGTTGGATATCGTGCTTCATGCGAACAGATGAAGAAATGTCATTAAGTCATTTCTCAGATCTTGATTTGACTTTCTTTCCTTGGACGTTTACGAAAAACTGATGGACATCAAGAATTGCGATTTAGACTTCGCTTGACTGCAGACGTCCCGTCAGTAATTTGAAACGCTCTACAGCAGTCGAACTGTCAAACTGATTTGCGGGTTCTGGAGGCGGAGAGCGCAGAGCAACAAAAATTTAAAGACTGTCGCTTGTTCAAGTCGAATAAGCGATGAAATATTATATACATTGCAAAAACATGGTTTCACATCTTGGCGAATGCTTTTTCACGGCTATATTCCCCTAACGAGCATAACCCCGTGGCGAAATGCTTTTGGGAACTTCGATACTCGAACACCATGGAGTTGGGTCTGCTTTGCTGGTCCACGTAGTCATTTCGGGACCAAGGAGCTGTACGGCATTCGGTGAAATCTGGTGTTGCCAAGTTAAGCGCCTGTCAGTCGCTTCTGGTGTTTTATGAATGTCAAGTCGAACACGTCAGTCATTGGCACGCTTTGTCATTTAAGATGTTCTTGTGTTATTTGTCATGGTATTTCGACCACCTTTAGATTTTGGCAAAGGAAGGTTTGTAACCATTTGAAAATAGGTCTTCTTTTCGCATTTATGATGGAACGATTTCTAGCGCCCTTCCTGTCATGATATTAATGGCGGGGCTTCATTTACCTTTCCGTACCATCATCCAGGTCCCTTATTTTCTTTCTCGTTAAAAGAAAATAGCGAATTACCTGACCGGGACCTCAACCCAACCAATCTAGACTTTGAGTTCGACGCTCTGCCAACTGATCAACCTCTGTCATACGAGACATTAAGTTTAATGCTATTGATAATAGTTAATTTTGACTTTTGCTACCGACTCCTACTTTGCAACTGCTGTGTACTTGAAACTGTAAGCTTTGTATCTCACTGTTTACTTTTCAGGGAAAACCGACCAAGATGTAGTTAGAAGGAAGCTCCGTCCCCCGCGGTTTTTCCGGAGATTGTTTTGTTGTTTTGGCTTCAGCGCTTCTGAAACAGCCGTGTCTTCTCCCGCAGAATATCTGGCAAACCACTATTCGCCAAAAGTAGGCTGTTTTTAACCCTCTGCTTTTCGACTTCTGCAATTTTTGCTTTTTTTCAGCCGTCCGAAAAGCTGCTGCTGCCGCCAGTGCGACCCTGTGATATTAACAAAAAGTGTCTTATTATTGATTTGGATGAAACCCTTGTTCATAGTTCTTTCAAGGTAGTTCCTTTTTATTTTTTATCACCCTGTTGTGTTTTCTTTTAGCCTGTAAAAAATCCAGATTTTATTATACCTGTTGAAATCGACGGCATTATTCATCAAGTAAGACAAATTAATTTTTTTTGCTTTTGTATTTCTGCTAGTTGTTTTGAGGAGTAAGAATTTTTATGTTGGTGGCAATAATTTTGCATAAAATTATTGGTACTGTTATTATTTAAGACGATGCTTCAGTTTAGTCCATTCATCATTAAACAACAGCAAACACCTCAGTGTATACAACCGATGGAATATTATGACGGTCTCGTGATCTTGCTTATTACGTAGCAAAACTCAACGCGACTCAGCACTGTGACGGCCACGTACCAAGCGCCCCAGCATTGATCTTCTAGTGATGTTAGGCTGTTAACAAATTGGCCGTATTTGGTATAAATGGGTATATACGCGGCAAAACATCTGCGCTAGAATTAACATCTAGTGGAGCGTAAACTGCATCTGTTGCACCCAGTGCGACTGGTGAAGTTCCCACCAAGTTTCCAACGCAACTGAACGTCTTTGTCGCATTACCGTGTTCAAGGTGTCCAACCTCCCGTACCAGAATACGGTCTAGCGATATAAATCTGGCACACCGTCACATGCTTCGAAACTAGAGCCTGTCGGGA